GACAGAATTAGCTATAACTTTCTTACCGTCTCTCGTTTTAATCAACCGTACATTCATCGGTAATTTTACGATCAACAGTAACATACTAGAAACCAATAAACTTCGCCAAATGGAAAATTCGAGAAGCCAAAATCGAGCAATAAAACAGTCGGACTCGATAACGACCATCAGGCTACAAATCCAGTACATTCTGTGCCAATAAAATTTTATTAACCCTGCCCAAATGTATCATCGGAAATAATTTTTGCGGTTGGGTAATTGAAACGGATCTGTCAAATACGGATATATGGATACTTTGTTTGAGTCTGTTATTTTGAATAAAAAATGAAGAATATTTATAAATGACAATAAAAATGATTATTTTAATATATGTAAAGTATATTTTGCCTATTACTGCTATAAAAAAATTAAATTTAGTAGAGTATTTCCTATTTTGTAGAAAAAATATTATAAAGGGCGATGCAAAATAATTTAATGAGGTCATCGACAATTTTTTTATTTGCTAATATTTTTAGGCCTAATGAAGAGAATTTTATTTTCGTTACTTCTATATTGCTGCCATCTTTAACTGGCTTTTCTTTTTTTTACAATTAACTTTCAAATTTCCTTTTAATTATAATTTTATTATTGTCAGCAGTTCTACTTTTAATTTCTAGTGTTGTTTCTAGTGCCTTGTTGGATAATGTGATGTTTGTTTACTTTAAAACAACAATTTATTTGTAAATAATTTATTTAAACACTTATTTATTTTATAACACTACAATTTATATATATATCGAATGTCTTTGAATCGCTCACTATTTATATTCACCACTGTCTATCTACTAATAACTATTTATCTTCACTGTCCATATAATAATTATCATGATGGCTCATCCACCATTATTTATATACAAACTTAAAAAAATAGCGAACGTTCTAGTAAGTTTACATATTCTCTCCAACACACTAGAAACATTATCTCGTTCTTTCTCGAACATCATCGAAATCACCTCCGCCATAGTCGTCCCATAGATTTGGTCTTAAGGGGTTTAATTATGTATAATAATCGGACAAGTTGAGCCACAAAGGCCAAATAAGACAGAGAGGGACTTGTAGGGTTAGAGCATGACTGAATAATGAAATGGCTCACATAACAATAATTATTGTCCGAGCTGCTGAAGTGAATGAACGTGTCTTCTTTTGTCTGATTTTAACTGAAATTTTAAAAAACCTAAATATTAAGTGTAAAATTAATACCAAAAGGTGTGGTAAAAAAATTATATCAAACTGCATTAATAAAGATATAATAATTAGTAAGTGTTAAATATTACAATAAAAATGAGGGCAGTTGTAATTTTGTATACTACACTGTACAGTTTTGTAGTTTTTTTTTAAATATGGGTTAGAAAAACAACATATGAATAGTAGTATCTTTATTTTATAAATTTGCTATATTTCAATTATTAATAATGAAGATAGAAAAAAAAAACAGAAAAATGCATGAGAAGTGCCTATACAACATAATAAGTGAAAAGACAAAGTACATATTGAAATTTACATTGAAACAGAAACAAAAAATACAAAGTACTCAAAATGTTATTCTACATCAGAAGATTCGTTGTGTTTTTAGCTGCCACCTCATTTATTTGTGCCTCTATCAATTCTATGGGATTTAACTCGCAGTGATATGGGGAAGCACAACTTTATTCTTTTATTTGGCCATTTCATCGACAATATACAAATTATTTGCATCTTTATGTTATTGAATTCGGTGTAAAATCATCTTTTTGACTATGCATCACAATCATAGCATCAAAAAACACTTTGTAAAAAAATAGAAAACAATGGATTTCGACTCTTCATGGTAAATGCATTTTCTACAAAACCTTCCGAATTAGCATGTATAATATTAAGATGCCTTCCCTTTTTTGTAAGGATTTTCAGACTCGTAGATACACCTTATTATGACCTTTATCTAAGTAAAAGATTGGCCTGTTTTCTTTTCTATCTTGTTTGATGGATTTTAAATCTACAGATATAGCGCTCTATCAATACACTTTGAACATTTATTTTAAAATATCTAAAATATATATTCATAATAAATAAACAGTACATTTGACTGTTCAAAGTTACAAACTTACTTAGTTATTATGTCTCAAGAAAGTATATAAAGATGAATAATATATTTGTGGTAAATTTAAATGTTTCAATTCTTGCAAAATTTTATTCAATCTAGATAACTTATTTTAGAAAGAGAAATCGTGTACTAATCTTCGAATAGCATTTAGAACCTCTTATCAAATGTTTTTATAAGTCCTCGTCTTCCATAAATACTTTTTGGACTAGATATTGCCGCGTTTAGGGTTTTTTTGGTTCCCTAAACGAGCTAAGGGGTTAATTATAGCTAGATGGTAGAACTTTAATAAAACAAATAAAAATATAGAAAGACAATCTCCATTGAATAATAAAAAAATAACATTAATCAGGTACTTACCAAGGGTACACCATTCTAAGAGGGATGGTGCTTGTGTCGCTCTTCAAAACCAAGTGATTAATAATATTCAATATTTTATAAAGAAAGTTCGGGTTCATGCACTTTTGCTTGATCAGGTAATTCGTTGAACTGCGTTTACTGCTGTCTTTGCAAGTTCAACGAATTTCCATAAAAGTATCAGTTAATTAAGAAACCTGAATTTATACTTCCTCTTTAGAAATAATATCTTTAAATAAACTAAACAATGAATGTGAAAAATGAAAATAATAATTTAATATTATGAGATAAATATTTTTTAATAAATGAATAATTATTTAACTATTTTACCTATAGTACATGAACCCTAAATATATTATTTGACAATATTGTTCCATTATTGTGGTATTATTTCAATAATTAGTAATTAGTAAGAATAATACCTGTTGTAAGAAAAATGTTAAGTATTTAATATTATTTTTAATTTGAAAGTAATAAGTAAAACTTACCGGAGGCTTGAGAAATTTTGGATAAAACATCAATAATTTAGATTTTTTTATTATTATCCAATACCTATTTGTACATATTTATTATTTACTGCTTTTCTGAGAGACTTGAATAGCCTAAGCTCATTCGTCTTCGTTGTTTTGATGGACTCTGCGAGGAACTGCTATAATAGTATTCGATGTAGAAGGATCCGTAATCGTAGAAATTCAATACAATTGCTTACTAAAGTTTTAAAAAGAACTGTTAATAAAGAAATAAAATAAAAAACTAAGTAATTATGATGAGATATCAAAGCAATAACAAAACTTAAAATATAAAATGTCAGACTAAAACTGTCAACATGTCAACAATAACAATTATCAGCTAAAAAATAATGTGTGAAACTGACTGCAATCTGATCAATCAGAAGTCTACAGAACTGCCAACTTAAATTCGAATCGCTCCTCTTAGTTTACAGAGTATAATGATTCTAAGAAATCGTAAATTGATACTATCCGTTAAGAAAACCAGTAGCAGAACAATTCAGTTAAAGAGCATTTTATGAAATGGGTAAACTGACAATTTCTCAATTATTCGAAAAACTTTAGAAGGAAATAAAGAAACAGGGAGATAAAATAAAAGAAAGTAAAAAACTTGAAATAAAAACTGAAATGAAAAAGTTATAACAAAACTCACTAAAGAGGGTAAATTCACTAGAACAAAATTATATTAAAATTGAAAACAAGTGTTTACAGTTAGGCAGCCTAAATAGAAAAAACAACATATTAATTTTTGGTTTAGATGTCCCAAATAACACAAATTTAATCGATGTTGTCTTAAAATTATTCCACAGAAGTTCAAGTTACATCTTTAAAATTAAAACAGGAATAAATGGCGCAATAAATGTCGAGTTTGTCTCATATTTAAGAAAACAACTTATACTTCGTAATTGCAACAAACTGAAAGGAAAGAATACATTGTTCAAGATCTCTGTTACGAGGATAGGCAAAAACAAAAGATATTAAAGAAACACCATCTTGTAGATGGCAGACTTTTTGGTGTTATTTATCGTTTTAGATTTCTTCGAAAATCTGCTGTCTACGCTACTGAGGAAGCTAACGCTTTTCAGAAATTTCCATCTAACTAAAATTGTTACACGGTTTACTGTATCAAATAAAAAAGTTAAATATTACAGCTAATTGTTTAACTGTTCCAGATAATAATTTTCAGTTAAACTGTTTAGCTAAGGCTATTTTTCAGTGTAGACTACTTTAAAAATAGACATTGTCTTTAAATCTCGTATATTTGGTAAACTTACGTCCTCTATTTTGTACATGTTACTCTACATAAGTATATGTTAACTATAAATATAAAAAATGTTACTTAAGTTATTCAAAGTATACACAATTTTATTCCAATCATTGCAGTTTTGAAGGACCATTTTATTTTATGAATTTTGGCGGCTGCGTTTAACGTATCCACCATATTATAGAATATAAGTAGGGTTACGTATATTTCTCAACTAAAAAACAGAAATTTCGCATAAATATAAATTAAAAATCCAAAATTTCGCATTAATTCGCATAAAAAAATATTTAAAAAACCTCAATCATTAAAATAACAAAATATGTATTACAGAAAAGTTAGAAGCTAACATCGCGGTTGTCTCTATATTTTCTTGCCTTCGGTCATTTATGACGACATTGTAAATACTGAAATATCTTTCGGCATCTACACTGTTGACTGGGCTATGAAGACTTTGTATAGTTGCATTCGCTAACCTCAGGTAGCAACATTTTGATGCAAGTAAAATCTGCATGACGTTAACAGGAGTTTCTTGCTGAACCACATTGACGAGTTGTCTATAGAAATGAGCATATCCACTTAGGCGTATATTCCTGAAAAATGGTATTCTGGAGAAGCTCTCCAGTATTGAATTAGTGTCCAGAGACGATGTGGTCACGGCCGCTGCTGCTGATGGGCAAAATAATTTGCCAATGTGCAGGTAGGAATCGTTTGTTGGGTTGGACCTCATATGCGAAGACAATTTATCCAAGCTCTTCTATGCTGCTGTCTTTAGCATAATACTGTGCTCTTGATGGAAATCGCCATTTTCGTTTAACAAAATGCTTTTAGTTTTTTCTCCAAACGAACCTTTACGTTGTCGCTTAAGAGAAGACTTTAAATCTTCTAATTTGCTCCATAAAATGTTCGCGAATGGATATTTTGATCCTTCCAAATTGTCAATTATTTTAATTATTTTTGGACAGAACTCGGATACGAATGTCAACTCAACTCGTATTTTGCGAGCCAGAGTTTCATTTTCAAAACAGTCCGTCAGGTAACTAGTACTCATGTTATCGTCTTCATAATCATTCATAAAAGTAATAATATGCTCTACATATTTGCTCAAATAGATTGCAGATTTGAATCAAAAATTCCACCTAGTTACAACTGGCGTGGGGTAAAGTTAAGGAGTCAGTGGCGGAGCGTGTTCTTGCAAGTATTTCAAATAAGCACTTTTCATTTTTCTTTAGCGCTAATTAAACCTAAAATTTAGAAAAAGGTAATGAACTATTGTTATAATACGAAAATAATTATCGCTTACCATCAGGTAATGCACCTAGGAACCCATATTGCATAATATATAATGCATAATAACCCTGATGGTATAACCTTCACTTTGTATGCTGTACTCAATTGCTGGGGCAGTTATTCCTTGTTTGTCTGTCAATATTTTTTTTACCAAACAATCGCACGGAGTACGGGCTCTTCTTTTGGCAACTTCCCCAAAATAAGAAGCCGTTAGCCGAAACCTTCTTTTCTCCAAGTATCTTGGGTTGCTGAATTGTCCTATAGTTTTTTCTGATATTTGTTGTTGTTGCTTACTCGTCACCTAAAAATATTTAAATATAAAATCATGTAAAAAGTAAAAACGTAATATTCATGTTAATACCTTTAGTCAATTAATTAATTTAATAACTTCGTCTTTAAGACATTCATCACTCAGCAATATTAAATCCGTACTCCGTTGTTTCTGATGGTTTTGGCTTTTTTACAGCCTTACTTTTTTCTAACAGTAGATTTTCTTTTAATTTTGTCACGCTCCTCATTATTTGCCCATTTTCTTAGAAAATGTGGTGCCTCTCCATTAAAGCATTGCTTCCAAATTTTGATGTGCCAAATAACTCCATTATTGTAACGAAGAACGCTCAAAACACACCTACTTTGAAAACCGTTCCTTTGAATGAGATTTAATCGTTTTCTCATAATAAAACGAGCAATATTATTCATAAATGATTCTGCTTTGTTGGTTGTTTCGTTGACTAAAAAAAGGTGTGCTTTTGTTAAAAGTAAATTTAATGCTGCGAATACATGGTGGTGAGCTCCTGATGATGTGAATTCGGAATATCGTTATTAATATCGCAAATTTCTCTTCGGCAGTGATTTCCAAAAACATGTGTTACACTTTTTCTTAAATTTTGTTTAAGTTGTGCAACGCTTCCATATTTATTAGTGTAAACCGCGAATTATGCTGCCTTTACCAATTTTTGTATGATAGCACCTGTTAAATATTTCCTTTCCTTTAAAGAAACGGTTCTAGTGTTCTTCTTTATATTGTAAAGATGTTTGCTATAATTTTTAATGCAATGATTTGTGCATTCCAAATTTGTTACCTGATTATTAAAAATATAGCAACTTAAACTAGTTTAACAGATATTAAAATGTGTACATACCTCTACAAATTGTTTATTATCCATCACTCGATATGAAATAAAAACATTCAAGAACCAAATCGTTTTTTTATACAACTTCCCCTACAACCTTTCCACGTTGAGAAATAAATTAAAATATTAAAAATTTTATCTTTTGTTACTGTGATGTTCATAATTCTTTTCTCTAATAAGAATGAAACTCACTTTTCTTAGAATGCAAGTAGTCAAAATTAAATTATTTTTATTTCTTAATACTTCAATAAGATTTACAACCTTACTCTATGAACATTATGAATTTTAAAATCAAATAACTACTTCTTTGATCCTCTACTTCTTATAATAAGTATTATAATAATAAATTGTCTAGATTTGGGTACTTAATACGTACTTACGGAAAGTAAAATCATTTTAATTTAATCCCAGTATTTTCTAAATTTGTATCTTATATTTCTTATATTGTAAAACAAAGAAAATGAGAACAATTTGTTTTTCTATCTTGTGGAGTTAAAAATTCTTTTAAAATCGATATAAGAGATAAATATTTATTTCCACAATTGTCAACAATATACGCCATCAAATACTATGGGATTTAAACCCTAATCGCCGAATCTAAAGTCCAAAGCTCTGCCCATTCCTTTATTAATGGTATTAATTTATATACATCATTTTTATAAATCTAAATATTTCGTTTTCAGCTAAAGCAAAAATCGGTCATTTAATTATAGGTGATTATAAATTTTCTCCTAATTTAAAAAAAATTAATTTATATTTTTTTGAAAACATGGATCTAGCAATCAGTATGTAGGTATATAGAATTAATAAATACAAATAAAAAACTCGTTTTTAAAAAATTTAAAAAATAAATAATTATATATTTACTTATTGCTTTGTAATTACTATTTAAATAAATAAGTAAATATTATAACTATATTATTTTTTTTTTGGTACTAAAATATTGATCTTCCCTCGTTTCCGTATCCAGATAAAAATGATTCTACGCTAAGAACTCCGTGAGTAGCAAATAACAAATTCAACGGATCGATAATTCCTTTTGACGAGTAGATTATTTTACCAAATATTTGACTACAGGCACTACTGGGTAGCCCGCAGTACAGAATTTTACCGCAAATTCTTTGGAGACTCTGTCCTTAACTTAAAAATATTGACGAGCGACTCTCCATTTTACTATGTCCTCTACTTAGCTAATAATGTCAATCTTATGCATAATATAGATTGGAATATGTTATTTCATCAGTATTGGAAAGTAATATTAAATTATTTTAAAAATTATGGGTTTTAAATTATCATTATTATTAACAATCATCATTGCATTGATCATTATTTATCAGAATTTGGTGTAGAATCTGTCAACTTCGCCGATCACATATTATAATTTTAGTTTAGGCAATTGTCATGTAACAATATGTATTTATGTAAAATTATTTGTAATATTTATATCCATGTAATAAAGCTAGAAGCCTGTTTGGATTGTGAAATAAATAAATAAATGAATGAATATACCAGGATCTGAAAATCAATGTTATTATTGCATAAAATAAAATAAAATAACGTATTGTAATGTTTGTTTATTTTAATCAACAGTTTATTTATTAATAATTTATTTAAACACGTATTGATTTTAAAACAATACTATTCTATTTATATATTTCGAATGTCTTTGAATTGTTCACTATTTATCTTCACTGTCCATATATATCTAACTGGTGCGTTGTCCCTCCACCAATATTTATATACAAATTTAAAATTATGGTGGATTATCTGGTGGATTCTCTGGTGGATTTCAGAACGATCTCCGCCAATGCTAGAGACATTATGGCCAAATTTAAAGAAGAAAGTGGAAGGTGATGTCAAAATAATAAAAGATTGGTGCGACTGTAAACTTTTAACTATGAATCTAGACAAAACAAAATTCTTACCTTTTAGTTGTAATGTGTCTGGTTTGAGTTATCTGAACCATATCAACATAGAAATCCAGGGTAAGAACTACGCTATTCAATCAGCAAAAGAAATAAAATATTTAGGAATACACCTAGATAAGCATCTAAGATGGGATTATCACATACATTATGTCACCAAAAAACTACAAAAAATAATATATAAATTTAAACATATAAAAGAGTACCTCCCTACCAAAGATTTGAAAAATCTATATTTTGCACTGGTAGAAAGCCATCTCAGATACGGAATTACAGTATGGGAGCAGCCTCACGTGTATACATAAATCAACTTGAAGTACTTCAAAAACGATTTCTAAAAATAATTATGTCAAAGCCCTCAAGATACCCTTTTAATGATTTATACAATGAATCAACTATTATGGATATTCGACAACTATTTTATTATAATACTTGTATAAGATATCATTTTAGTGATGATAAGGCACCATACCCTGATCACAAATATAATACTAGGTATCGAATACTTCATACCCACCCACTAGTAAAAAAGTCCATATCGCAAAAATCATACTCCTATATTGGAACTAAAATGTATAATACTATTCCCGAAAATATAAAATCAATAAGTAACAAAATAACATTTAAAAAATATTTAAAGGAAGCGATAACACAAAGAGAAAGGCAGTATTACATTAATTTGATAGAATAATAACAAGCTAATCCTACCCACTGCACCGAAGGTACTGCTAGTGCTAAAATTATCATAATACATAAATCCTTTATTTTATCTGTACTCACTTGCTTTAAATTAATTTTTTATCGTTATATTATTATTTGTATATATTGTCTTGTTAAAAAGTTATGTTTTTTTTTAATAATGTCTACGTTATTTTATTTAAATTATATTGTTGGTTTCTTTCATTTTTTAAAAAACTATGTTATATTTTAAATATTTTTAGTATGTAAAACCGAAACAAGTGCAAAAGCACTTATCGGCTATTTTAACTTTATTTATTGAAATTTTCTATTTATATTGCAAACAGATGTTTTGTATTTTACTGTGGTAAATAAAGTTTATTATTATTATTATTATTATTATTATTATTATTATTATTATTATTATTATTATTATCACGTTTTACCTGGAAAGATCTCGAAAGCGCCTCCGCCATAGTCGTCACATATTTTTGGCCTTAAGGGATTTATTTATTTATAATAATCGGACAAGTTGAGCCCTAAAGGCCAAATAAGACAGAGGGGGACTTGGAGGATTGGAGAATGACTAAATAATGAAATGGCTCACATTACAGTATATTCAAAATGAGTCTATTTTAAAACAAAGAATAAAAAGAAAGGAGAAAAACAAATATTAGCAATTTTGATTTGGGATTTTAGATATTAATTCCCTGTATTTTTGTGATAAAACTTCTGTAGATTTTTTACAAACAAGTCCAGAATTTACATCGATCACAATCTACATTTTTTCCAACCCATTTCAGTTCTTTTTCGATGCTAAAAACCAGCCGGTGATTTTAATCCCAAAAACGCACTCTAAAAAGACCATTTTTTATATATTACATATATTTCTCTAGGCTGTGGTAATGAACGAGTTGATGATTGATTGTTGTCGCTATTGGTCTTGACCTATATGGACGCGAGCGACGGCGATGTTCACGTGCGGCGAGAGATTATGAAAATCACCCTGAAATAAACTTGATATAGAAAAAGCCGTGGGGGGTTGGTGG